AAAAAAAAAAAAAAAAAAAAAATATTATTACTGCTTTTTTTCTACCGTGAACAACAATTAGCCCCGATTTTCAATTAAAGCGCTTTTTCGGAAAGTAAATCCGATTTGGATAGTACTAAAAGAGGTTATTTTTTGATTTTCCCTGCGGTTTTTTTTTCCAAAAAATCGAAAAAACCCAATAAAAACTAAAGAAACACGGGAAAATACGTAGATAAAATACTTAAGTACTATCATTGATGCATACGTAATTATTTTACCGTAATATGAAATTTAAATTATTGACAAAGCAACACTATTAACCGAATTCCGCTCAGAATCGTTTTTGGTTAACAATGGTCGCTCGTTGCAAAAATTATATTTCTCCTCTACCTTCCCAATTTTCACCTACAATATTGGTCCACCCATCGTTTGAAATATGTCCGTATCTTGTGTTTTTTTTTTTTTTTTTTTTGTCCGTCCGTTAATAATTTTTTCGCCGAATATGTCGTTCGAATATACGAGCACGCCATTTATTTTAAAAAAAAAATCCTATCCAAATTGGAGCGAGCGTTAGAAAATTCGATTTTGATTTTCCCTGTAGTTTTCTGAATAACTTTTAAAAACGTAGGTAAAGCGGGATGGCTTATGGAGATAATTAAATTATTTTCGATTCCATAGTTTGTCGTTGTAAATCGGTTCAAAATTGAAGGTATTTGAAATTTTCGTACAACTACTTTATTAGCCATTCAACGTGCTTTTGAATTTTGAGCTATTTATTGGTATTTGATTAAATTTCACGTTTTTACACTTTTATTCGGTGGTTCCGTTGGCGAAAATAATTTCGGTCGAGCAGAGACGCTTGGAATTTTACACGAGATTCATGATGAGTTGCACTTAGTGTTACGAAAAAAGTTGCGCGTGATTATTAGTGCTTCCGTAAGCTTTTTTAAGTTTTAATTTTGACAAAAATCCTACAAAATAAGAGGTTTGCGTTATAGTATTTTAAAAATGTCAGATTTCATTTCGGTTAATCATTATCAATTTACTAGTAAGGTTCTTGTGTTTCATGAAATGTCAAGTTCGTTTCAAGGGAGGGTTTTTGCTTTCGACGGCGACACTTTATTGAAATCGGTATGAATACAATATTATTATTATACTTGAAAAATTCAAATAATTGTACATAATATTATATCGCATAATGATATAAAAATAATAAAAAAAAATAAAAACGTGCACTGCAATATTTAATTCCCGGAGTTAATTAAGTTTATTTTTTAGTATTACTATTATTATTATTTTTTTTTTTTTACTTTTCCAAGCAAATGGACGCCAAAGGCATACAATTAGATTTGTTTAACAGATACTGTATTGCAAAAGGGAAATTTAAAATATTTTGGGTGTTTTTTTTTAAACGTTAGACACATTCTATTTGTTAAATTAAATTAGATAACTAATTAATTAAAGAATTTATTTTTGAGAAACCGTATGATCATATAGTATTCTTGCATAAGAGGTTTTAGGTTTTTTTTTTAAAAAATAAATTTAATAATTTTCAAGGCATTTAAATAATGTATCGTTCAGCTCATAGTTTATAGTCGAAAAATTTTGCTTTTCGGGAGGCATATCGTTCAAACTCAGAAATGTGTACACAATAATTATTTATTTAAGAAGTACGAGTTCGTTTTAGTCGACGAGCTTTAATTTTATAAGATCCATTCACTATTTTACCTTGCTACTTCATTTAGAGTTAAAAGTTTCTTACCGTATATAATAATACATAGAAACCTTGTTGGCTCGAGTCTCCCGTTTTTTTTATTTTTATTTTGTAGTTTTTAATGTTTGGATACTACTTCAGAATTATACAGCTATAGTATATATAGTTTAAAGCGGAAGTTTCTAAATTGGATTTTAATCCAGTTGGATATAGACTATATGGACTCAACGTATCGAATGGGGTTTAATTAATTGGTTATCATAAACCTGTTTTTGTTTTTGTTTTTTTATTTTTTTAAATAAATACGATTTCATTAAAACGTGTTTAGAAACTTGACCGTACAAAAAAAAAAGTAAACAATTAAACTTTTGTAATAAATAATATTGATTTTCTGGCTGAACATATTCCAACTTGTACGTAAATAACTCATTCTGTGAATATTCTGGTAAATTTACAACTAAATATGTGGAAAAATAGTTAGGAGACGTTGTTAATTTGTAATAATTGATACGAATTTTAAATGTTTAGTACCTATATCGCAAATTAAGTTTTTTTTTTTTTTTCCGGAATTTACTAATTTAATTCGAAGATCGATAGGATGCTTCCAAGACGTTGCAAGACATGCACTAGACTTACAAATAAAGTAAGGCATGTAATGAATTTGGGAAATTTTCATTTAGAAGGGACAACTTAGTGCTGTTAGTTTTGATATTGGGGTGCATTAACATATTATCAAACTTAAAGATAAAAATATTATTATTGATATTTTCGTTCATTATTTTAATTTTTAAACGAGATATGAGTGTGCGATATATCATGTTTTAAAAATGTTACAAAAAAACGACAAAACACGGCCAATGTCATTAATTTCGAATTGTATAATGGATCAATATATTCTTTTATAGAATCGAACAGCACAAATTTATTCCTGATAAACGCGAGTTTTCCATGTCGATTTTTTATAAGACGGAAATGATAAAATTTATGTGGATCGTCCTCCTCATAATAAAGAAATAATTATATAAATAATCCTTAAAAGTGGTTAGGTTGTATTTGTACCGATAATATTAACGTTAAAATTATTTTTTTTGTTTAACTGCAGAAATAATACGCATAGAATATTATTTTGTTTGCTATTTTATGAGTGGAATTAAAAATAAAAATAAAATAATAAAAAACGTATGTGTTCATAACATACATATCACATTGTTTGTAAACGTTTGAAAATACCAAAATGAAAATATTTTTATAAAAAATATTTACTAGATAATTTGTTTTTCATTTATCCGGAATAGATAAAGATAAAAATTGACTTTTACGTATAAATACGTTTGTTATCCAATAAGAATGTCTATGCGTGATAAATCGCTTGATTAGTATTAACTATTTGATTTTATGTTTATTAATTATATTATATTTTATTAATATATTTATATTTATTTTATTATTACATGCGTTTGCATGTATTGGATAAGAATTTTTCCCGAATTGTTAATATTTAATCAAATTATATTGTCAGTTTCGATACTTTCAACTCTCTACCACCTCCACCACAAGCATTGCACAAATGAGGTGGATATTACTGTAAATCGTCCATTTGTCTGGTGTAAGATTTAATAATACAAATAATAATAAAAAAAAAAAATAAATAAAAAATATATTTCAACGTTTTTGTTCTCCCAGGCGGAGTACACGTCTCGCACGATTGCTACTCAATAGCACTTACATGATATACTCACGGACGGTGAGGTGAAAGCGATGTCAATCGTAATTTGTTTTAAATATATGCGTACGTTATTGACTTGAACAGTTTTTCGTCCGACCCGCCAATAATACAACTAAACCGGTGGTACAACGTAGAGTAATAACGTAACACCGTACACCGGCTCGTATATTACCTGCTCACTTACACCGGTGCGTAAGTATTGTTTTTGTTTTTGTTTTTTTTTTTTTTTTTTTTTTACATAAACTTTTATTTGATAATAATATATATTCATATAAATAACGGCTGCAATGCACGTTCGTCCGATCGATTATTATTATTATAATCAGCGTACACCGGCGCAGATGTAGTGCGAAACACCTGTTATCATAGTTTTCGTATGGGAAACAAAACTACAACAGAAAAAAAAAAATAAAACAAAACAAACACGAGAAACGACACGGTATTCTGTTTCAAAAAGTGTATTTACATTTTCATTTTGTTTTTTTATTTTTTTTTTTTTACATAAACTTTTATTTGATAATAATATATATTCATATAAATATAATATGTATGTATTTATTTATAATTATACAATATAAGTACATAATATTATTATTTATTATACTTAGGTATGTTTAGGTGATAATATAATTACAAGTAGGTAACATAATAATAATAATAATAATAATAATAATTATATAACAAACTTGTAAGTTTTCACTTTTAAATATGGATAACGTATTGATTATAATAATAATAATAATAGTAGTATAGAGATAAATGTTCTTTTCCCCCGTCGTATAATATAAATATAATATTATATTATATACATTATTATTGATATAGAAACGTGTTAGCTAAAATTAAAACAAGACTAAAGAATCATTACTGGCAAAGTGTATCATATAGTAAACAACAAAATTTATAAACAAATGTGTATTGTAACATTTGTAAACGTATTTACAAAATATTATATCGACAATATAATATTAAGATGACGGATGATGAAAAAAAAAAAAAATGAATAACTTTCATTTAAACATTAAGTTATCACAGACAAACCAAAAACGTCTAAAATTATATATTTTATATATATATTTATTCTGTTATTTCTACATTATAGCCAGGTTAACGTGATCAAAGTTGTAATAGTCATACCGTGGGTGGTCGGCGTCAAAATTGTCGCGATAGTAATTATCGCAGATACAGCGTCCGTAGAATTGTATAAAAAGCTATAACAGTGACGTAAGTAGAATCTTTATTTGGACAATGATATGAATAGGTATTTGTTAAACACGCCTAGAAAAAAATCATAGCTGATAAAAACTATATCATATAATTTCACGAACGTTTAACATCCTAAATAATAAACGGACAATTATTGATTATATGAAACGTTTCAGACTTAAAATTTTGCATTTTGTATTTTGTGTAACAAGTTATTGCAAAAAACATAACAATGTCTGGATTATAGGCCTCTTTGGGAGGGGGACTTGAGTACGTCGCCGTGTGATACCTGTCCGTGTGCATTTTGACAGAAACGTCTACTAAAGTGCGATACTGTCATATTAGACTTATTATACGACTAGATGGAACACTCAGTATAATGACGCGTGCCAGTCGTGATCCTGAGGCTAGACAGATGAATAAACCAAATGTGGTGTAAAGGACCTCGGGACAGAGTATGGTTCTCTCTCACGCATCAGTCCATCTTTCTATTTTCGTTTGGCATGATCACGCCTCCCAATACTCGGAGCTATAATAAAGGCCTTCAATATTAACCCATATTAGCTACAGAGTCTAGGGTACGAAATTAAAACAGAACGCCAGGAACGTGTCAGCAATAGTTACTATTATTCTCACGATATAAACTATCAAATATCATGCACGATGGTGTGCGATAGTTGCGTTCACGATAGTTACTATCGCCCTTCAATGAACGAAAATTGTTCACGATAGCAATTGCGTGTTTCGCAACTATCACCAGCATTATTTGCCAGGCTTTATGTAGAGTTTTTTTTTTTTTTTTTTTACTCTATTTTATTATGTGGAGATTTTTTGAATACTCGTATAACAATAATATTTTATCTCATACGTCTAAATTGACTAATTTTCTAAAAAATTAAAACTAAAAACGGTTAACGTTGTTTTAGCCAAAAGAAAAAAAAAACCGTTCATCAGTCACCTTAATATCAGTGTATTGGTAATAGTATATAATTTGGTAACAAAAATTTTGGATTCATATACATGTACAAAATTATAATGATATATGCATATATATATATATAATATATGTTATTATAAAATGATTAGACGTAGAAATAGGAAAAGAAAAAAAAATCGATTGTATACAAGGGAAAAGGGGGTCTAAATAAGGCGATAGTAAAAAATTAAATAAATATTTAATATTGTGTGGAGGTGTTCGGTTACAAACGGTTGATCGAATTTTGTTTTGTTATTATTATTTTTTGAATTATTATAAAAACATACCGGCGACGTTAAAACGAAGTAGATTGTACAGAACCAGACGTGGCCAGAAAAAGTCGCAAAAGCCAACGATATCCCAGTGCTTTATGACGCTCTGTTGGCGCGCCCTTCAAACGGTCCGGAAACTTTTTGAATACACGCAGTCGTAATACGCATTATTATGGGCGTAGTTGGACTGAGAAAATCTTTTTTGGACTCGCATATGCAGTTAACGTGAGGAATATTTTGTAGTTTTCAGCCTTTAGCTCGCACGTTTTTTTTTTTTTTTTTTTTTTTTTTTTCTGTTTAAAGATATATTATATTATTGATTGATATTATATTGAACGAGACGTGTCCCGTCAATGAAAATCGTATTCGTTCGGCTTAAATAATTATTTCATGCGGTCGATTTGGACGAAAACGTCAAGATCTATTATACTAACCCTCCGGCCGGGTAATATTATTTATCGAAACGTCCGGCGCAGATTTGTAAACTCGGTCGGGCAACAAACAGAATGTTCGGAGCGATTTTTAACCACGACGAAATTACAGTACAGTACTCCTTCCGCGTTTAATTTTCGCAAGACAAAACGCGTTTTCCGGCGCGATCGTAGTCATTTAATAATCCCGTTACGCCTTCTAACGGGCTCCGTGATATTATTGTACAACGATAATTGCCGCCGATGGCGAAATAGGCGTACGGAAATGAACGGAAACGAAACAAAACATTAGCACGCTTTTACGTGCGGCGGTTGTGCGGATTTAGATTACGTTTTTACAACTTACTGTTTTTATTTATTTATTTAATTTTTTTTTTTTATTTTTCATTCGGAAATATTGAAAACGCTCGCGCGGACCGGTGTAAACGTTTCAGTTGGAACAGATATATATATATATATGTATATGTATATATTATTATGCCGTTTTCAATATTCTCTACTTAAAAAATACAACAATACAATAGGCATAGTATTATGTTCGCTACGCGTGCGCAATATATTATTAACAAAATATTATCATACATTTCACATTGTACAATAATAATAACAATAACAATAATAATAATAGTAATAATAATAATAATAATAATAATAATAATAATAATATAGAATAACAATTAAATATTGAAAAAAAAAAAAAATCAATCAAAATAATAAAATAACCTTTACACGAAATGTCGCCGTAGTACTAACACTTGTTGACTTGCGCGTATATAAATATACAGTGTGCACGCGAACGCGCCACGCCGAATTAATTCATACCGAAACAATAAAGAGGGTCCCGGTGGGATGTGGGAGCGGTTAAATCGCGACGTGAGAGAGACCCATTAGGAGACGCCACTAACAATTAGTGCCGTCGAGAAACGTCGTTGTAAACGGGTAGTGTATATTATTATTATTATTATTATGATTATGATTATTGTTGTGGACACGGGGGTGGCTAAGTGCGTGTGGTGAAAAAAGTACCCGAGAATTATTTTCCCGGCGGTAAACTTCTACGGACTCGCATCGAATACATTTTTTCCTGTTCCTCTCACACGGCGGGTACCTGTATAATACGTGTATCGGGGCGGGCGGAAATTTCCGACTGAATTATTATTATTGTTCGTATTCGTATATAGAGTCGCAGGTATACAACAGCCGCCGACGGAGTCTTTTAACGGTCTCGTACACATCGCGGTCGTCGTAAAGGTCTGAACTTACAATAAAAAAAAAAAAAAAAAAAAATAATAAAAAGTTTAAAGGTTTAAAAAGCTCTTTGAAGAAAAAAAACAAATATAAATATAATATATAGGTACCCCGAACTCTAATTGATATACCACGCGTTCGTGTATACACACGACTTTGCGAGGTTAAAACGAGTCAGTTTGGTGTGTGTGTGTGTGTTTGTATGTTATAAGTTCAATAAGACCGTATTTTTATTACTCGACGGCGGCGGCGTGGTCCAAGGCGACAATGCGGTATAGTAATAACGAAAATATAGTATTAAAAATAAAAAAAAAACTTTCTCATTCTCTCTTTTTTGTTTTTTTTTTTTTTTTTTTGCACATCATTGATTATTGTAAATTTAAATCGTTTTTGTTATTGTTATTATTATTATTATTATTATTTTCGGTATTATATTATGTCATTATATTGAACGTGCTGTTTTTTGACATCGCGTTAATTGTGGTGCGCTTCGTAGTAATGGAAAGCGAACGCAATCAAAAGGACGGCCCATCGATTGGTGTTGGCAACGCCTGAAAAAAAAAAAAAATATATTATCATATTGAGCTGTACACGTTTTTTATTACGTTATTTATCATACACGACGGGCATTTATAATAAGCCCACACCTAGAACTTTTTAGGCCTTTATAAAGACCGTCCGGTATCACTCTCAGTCCTCCGTGTTTCTCTATCCATTGGTTTTTTTTTCAGTTTAAACTACTATCGAAACTCACATCCCACATCTTTTGTATTTTTTCATGTTACATCTTCCTATCTCATCCTAGGCCGTTTTTCAGAGGTCTTTTCCACGTGAATACTTTTTCCTCCACACGAACCGCTTTTGAGTTCCGTTAGCTCATTCTGTTTCCTGCATGCATATCTCGCCTTTTATAAAACTCATTCTCCAACCTGTTTCGTCTACCGGTCTATGGCAGACCGGTAGAACAGTAAAGAAGAAATTGTTCAGTCATTTTTACGAGTATCTTCGAAATTTAAAATTCGAACGCTTTTAACACATTTTTTTAAACGTTCGCTTTTTTTTATTGGACTCCGTTTCTAGAATAGATTTTACTGAATTAAAACAAAAAAAAAAAAAAAACAAAATCAATCGCGACACAAACTAACCTACGTGTGTTGAAACATTCCCGAATTTCAAATGGATTATTACCCATTTGGAAAAGTACAAAAGATTTTGTAAAAATATGAATTATTCAATGTCTTTTGTTCAAAACTTTTTCACAGGCATAGCAAAGAAAACAAAAACAAAAAAAAAAAGTCAATACATTATAGTAAAACTCCACAGAGAATTTAAAAATATTTTTATTTTTTTGTAAAAACAAAATATATTTATATTAGTGTTATTGGACCGACTCGGGACTTGTATGAGTTTTCCATTTGTTCTAATAATGTCTCATATTTAAAGGATTTCTGTGGCATTAAGTGCCCAAGATACGTCGCACGCAATATACACCCGTGCCGTTACAGAGAAAAAAAAAAAAAAAAAACGCTATTCGATTTTCCGCGAAAATACCCCGTGAAACGAAGCGCATTAATTTTGTTGTTTTACCGCGTTCGGAATGCTACGGATAATTGCGAATCGAAATGTCGATTTACGGCCGCCGACCGGACGGCAAAAGACGCGCGGAATGTTATACACGGAGCGCGGAACCCGGTTGGATGCACGCGCCGTGCGACGTCGCGACGGTGGTTTGCGCGTGTTAACAAAACGATTGTGTCCGCCACACACGGCAACAGTAATCTAATGTTAATAAAGTCGCGTGGTAAAATGTGGCGGTCTTTTCGCGTCGTCGTTGTTGTCGTTGTTGTTATTATTTTATATCGATTGAACGTGCCGCGCGCCCGTAATTTGTTTTGTGTGCGGCATTGCACGAGAGTAGATTTTCTATATAAAATTCGCTAATGGATTTTGATTATTATTATGTTAACACACACTCGCGCGCGCACACACAAACACACGCACACAAACACGCACACACACACACACATATATATACACACGATCCGCTGGTAAAAGTTAGTCGATTTTAGTTTGATATAATAATATCGTTATAGTCTAAATCAATTGCGAAACCCGTAAATTATTTACCGACGAGAAGTTTGATAATACCTACTCGCCCGCGTAGTGCGACGTGCGCGTATACAGGTGGGTAATAATAATTGCGTATTATCGATTTTACCCAAAACGAAATTCGGTTTTTCTCGTCTCCCGCGCAATATTATATTGACCGCGCCGTTTAACGGAGAACGAACGAACTGTACAACGCGCGCGGACGTGCGTACGAATAAATATTTACGCGTGGAACACGCGGTCTCCGACGACGCGTAAATATCGAAGAACCGAGAAGACCGCTACGCGGAACGCTGACGGACCCGGGACAAGACGAGCGAATAATAAAGGAAATTCGAAAATTTCGATCGATTGGCCCGACGGACGCACCGGCGGTTTTCGTAAATTCGTTTGTGCGCGCGGACGAATCGCAGCGAAGTCTCCTGGACCGAAACCGGCGGTTTATACCGGGGGCGGGGAGACGGTTAACTAATCATGTTGGTCGTATTTATGCAAGCCGACCGCCGCGCATTCTCCCCGGAGAGCACCCATTTCGATTGCCCCGCACAATAACACGCACGGTGAAATCTGCACGTCGGATACGGCAATGGCCGCCGACGTAAATTACCCGACGGGTCTACGCCGATCACACCCGCTTTCTGCGCCGCCGCAGTGATCTATTGCGCGTATCGTCAGTGGCGTGTATTCAGGGCGCTTCGAAAAACGCAAACATAATATTATAATTTATCAACTTCGAGAGGAAACGAAGGAGGCTTTTGGAGACGCGGCGCTTTTGAACAATACTAAAATCAACGTCGCGGATCGAAAGGGTTATAAATTATGCGGTTTTAAACGGGACGGGACGGGGGGGTAAACCGCGGCAACCGTATAGGGTATAGTCTATTCGACTCGGGATATAAGGAATATATATAGACGTACACCGACTATGCGAGACGCGAAAGTCTATTTAATAAAATAATCGAAGGAGTAGGTGTTTTTTTTTTTTTTTTGGACGCGTAGGAAAGTGGGCAGAGGGGAGGGGGTGGTATTATTATGGACGCAAATTATGAAGAACGTGCATACAGAAAAAACCGCTCGGTGCAACGCGTTGTTTCTGTTTGTTTTAGATATTGCATTTTAATGTACGTATACAATTTTTCGAGTTTGAAAACAAATATTAAAATGACCTAGTTATTTTTTATTTTGAGAAATTATGTAAAAGATAAAAAGAATTTTGCAGGTAGTACACGTTTCCTTCAATTATGTTTTTCGGACGTCGGATAATCGTTTTGCATTAATTCTCGCCGTGGCTACACATTGTGCGGTACTCTGTTTTATTATCTAAATTTGAGCCGGACTTTAAGCGCAGACGCGATCAGTTCAGAAAAATTAATATTGTTTTATGATGTACGCGATTGTAACTTGTAAACATAATTCTCTCAACTATATTTATAGAAAACGGATATTTGGTTGCGAATATATTAATCTAGAAAAAAATCAAATCCCGAAAAAAACATAACTTTACTGATTAAATATGAATAATATTACATACGTATATTTCGGGTTTTCAGTAATTTTTTTTTGCATTTATTAAAATATAAACAAATTTTTGAAAAAAATCACCACCACCGGGCGAAAAATACGCATATATTTAGCTGTGCCGTGAACAAGTTTCTAGTAAACAAAAACGTGTTTCCCGATAGCAAAAAAAAAAAAAAAAAATTAAAAAAGGAACTACCGGCGAACAGTTGAAAATCGCATAAAATTGCGATTTTCAACACTTCGTGTAATAGTCGGATAGAAAATCCGCATCTTTCTAAGGTACGGCTTGAAAGCGAACCGTAGTATTTTCGCTATTAATAAATAAACGGAAATCGAATAACAACACTAAAATATTGATTTTTTAGGGCGGTACCGTCACCAATGGCCAGTATTTCTGCCATGGCAACACATTTTTGTGTTTTTTCGTAAACGCTGTAGTATTTTTCAACTTGATACGCCATACGGTTATTTTTGTATTCGTCTACATTAATGGATTTACCGGGCGATATCAATTATTACACAAAAACATAGATAGCGTATTGGGAAAGTCAAACGGGAAAATACAATTTTAAAATATTAATGATGATTTTTCGTTCCACATCGTTCTTAGGACTTTGAATTTATCTATGTATTGGTAAGTTTACAACGCGTTTGTGGTATGGAATTTCATTTTTCTTTCGACAATCACGTGGATCGATTAAATCAAATATTAACACACATTTCTTAACCCTGGTCATGGGTTGCGAGTCTACCAACAGGGAGGTTACGTATCGTTCGTTTTTCTTTTCGACAAACAATATGAGAACTTATTCGTATCAGTTTACCTGTACGTATATTAAAATAAATCGTAATAGAACTTTTTTTTTTTAAAAAAAAAAAAAAAACCACCGTGAAAATGTTTAGTAACGGTAAATAACTGTTTTTATTGTTACTTTTGGATTCTATTTTCAAGGACGGAATATTATTACGAGAGCCCCGGAGGACTGTGTAAACATTGTGATTATAAAACCGTATACATGCAGCAGTAGGTATAAAACGAAGGCGATTACGCTTCGATTAATAAAACATTATGCGACAACGACGGTGTAATCAATTATGAATGACTATACGCGGTATAATTAATAAATTATCGTTGGAAAAAAAACCCAAATGACACTATAATATAGGTCACTGTTTTTTTTTTTTTTTGGGGGGTCGCTTGATAATTATTGATAATATTTTGTACGGCGGCGTGACGTAATTTATTTAAAAGTGTCGTGGTAGTGAGCAAATTACATGTCTTTTATACAAACACAAAATTCCAAAATCGGGATACCTACGACAGACTTCGAAACAGGTGCAGTGGGTATCTCCTACATAGTCATTTTAAAAAAAAAAAAAAAACCTACAGTTTTCATTAAACTGTAAACTTAAATTTTCAGTAAATCATTAAAAAACAATGTTTGGGGACACGAAAAAGTAAATCGAAAATAAAATAAATACCATCGGGCGGAAAACCGGTCAATTGTTTTTCTAGCCGAAAAAACATTTTCCTACGACAGAGCAGCATATTATTTTACTGTATTTTGCTGTATAAAAATAACATATTTTATTGGGTGTTTAAATTATTATTATTTTTTTTTTTTTTTTTTTTTTAAATATAATTTATATTTAGGGCTGTTTTACGAAAAGTTTCCTCTCGAGTTTCGTTTTAATCGGGTTTACAAAAGTGGACTTTGGACTCCGTTTCCCGCTGCAGTATAATATAGTTGCCTAATCCATCTTGTTCAGAGTTACTTTTACAAGGTATAATAATATACACAAGTTTCTCACGCAATCTTAAGGATTAATCATGTTAATGAGATCCGTTTTACAAATACAAATTACAATAAACACACGCCGCTTATTATTATTAGTTTCTGGTATCGTTTCTCATCGCCGTTGTTTAATATGCGTAAGAATATTGTGAAAACAATGAAAAATTGATTCTGTTCGCACCGTAGCGGATGGGCAGTAATATGAAGGCGTAGGATACACCGGTATAATTTATTTTTATATTGTTTTCGCCGAAAATTCATTCATTGCAAATGAAAAACGATTCTGAACGGAGTAGTATTATTGCCGGTTTTTCCTTATACTAAATTATTCATAGTTATTTAAAGAAAACTACGAGGGAAATCAAAATAATTTCCCAAATGCACTAAGTTTGTAATAGAGAAAAAATATACACATCATAGTTATATCAATAATGTCTTCTATACACTTAGAACATAAAACAGAAAAACTGTAAATTATTAATCACGTCATAGTTTTTTTTTTTTTTTTTTATAAATTACGGTATCAAATTAAATTTGTTTCTAACGTTTGTACGTTAGTTTTGTTTTTGTTTTTTTCAATTTTACAGTTCCCTCAGTGACCTCAGTTTCCTGTGGATATAACGGCATAGTTCCGGCGTTTCCGTTCGAAATTACGATGTCTACAAAACAACGGAGCACTACGAATAAAACAAGATTTAAATTATTATTATTACATTCGGTAGTCGGTCTTTTATAGTAATTATTTTTAATATAATGTTAACGGAAAACGAGACGGGAAATGAGTGTTTTCTATATATATTTTTCATTTATTTGCCCGTCAATAATAAGACCGCAATCAAAAGATACCATATTTTACATATTATATAAAAAGAAACCTTACTACCATAAAATTAACGTTATTATCACGAAGAATATAGATAAAAATTTATACGAGTATTTCGTACTGAAAAAAAAATAAAATGTTCGGAAGATTTTCTAACCAGTAACAGTCAACGTAACCGGAAATTGAATACGACGGGAAAATGGATAAAGTTTGGAGAAAATAATATTTCAAAGAGATTTATTAACTCAAATCAAATTATAAAAAAAAAGAAAAAGACGGACATATACTTTTTTAATTGGATGAACATCTGTACGCAACGATAGACCATAACATCCGATAAACCGAAAAATGATTCTGAGCGGAGTTCTGTTAAACATGTTTTGAAAAGGCGTTATATTTACGATTTTCGTCGAAATTTGATATAAAATTTCTTAGAAAATATTATATTAAACGCAATTTTTTACTGTCAAGCATTTTTGTTTGATCAAATGGTTTTATTCATGGAGTATCAACCGAATAAATATTACGTAAAAACTAGCAAAATTAAATTAAAATGACTATAAACAGCTTTAAAATGGCTTAAATATTTTGAAATTTTGACTACGTTTCTAAAAGAAGAATAGTTTCTATCAAAAATCTCTACGAAAATTTTTCACTGAATAACGACAAAAAAAAAAAAAGCAAAATTGAAAATAATAAAAGTTAAAACGGAAACATTATTTTTCTAAATTTTCCAATCTTTTCTACGTTTTTTCACAATTATTATGAAAACCACCGAGAAAACAAAAAAAAATAACCTCCTTAAAGTACTACCCCAGTGCTCTACACTTGAAAATCGGAGCAAAATATCTGGTAGAAAAGTTATTCGTTCTATGCTAATCAATTGTTATTTAAATAAAATAAAAAATCAATTATTCCAAATACAATATGCAAATATGCAATAGGTATGTGCAAATAAATCGAAAAATTAAATCTGTATATTCCAAAATTATATTATACATCTTAAAAATCCTAAAACTCGGTGCATATTTTAAATCAGAACGATTTTTAACACTGAAATACAAAAATAATTAAATAATAGCGATTCAGATAAAAAACTAGCTAAAACCAGAAAATAAAACAAAAAAGTAAAAAAAAATTATGAAAATCTCACTCAAAATCTTAAAAAAAAAAAAATTGCAAAAATGTTCCTTCGAACCGGATTTGAACCAGTGACCTATGGATATCTGTGATTTTACCACTACAGTCCACCGCTCTACCAACTGAGCTATCGAAGGATGCTGAACAGTGAGTGGAATAAGCCATTTAAGTAAACGTGGTATTATATACTTTCACTTCGAGACAGTGTTGTTTGAATCAACATTCTAATAGGCTATATAGAGTTTAGTTATGAACGTACAAACTAGTGTGTCGTTTAATATTATTTTTTAGATCGTTCGATGCACCAACTAGACACATTTTCTAATCGCCAATTATCGGAAACACAGTACCTGAAATTGATAATAATAGGAGCGACAGTTTAGGTCGCAAAAAAAAAACATACATAAAATACATACAAATTTTATTGAAATTACAATAATACATTCTTAGCTTCAATCAGTATTATGAAAAAAAAAATTAAACTCGACAATTCAAAATGAATAACTAAAAATATTACACACCTCTGTCTCCATATAAATACATAACACAAACAAGATGGACATACTTCGCTCGATGGGTGGACCACTGTTGTAGACGAGAAGTTGGAAAGATAGGATATATAGAGGGGATCTTAAACTGTATATTTTTAGCAAGGATAAATCATTGAAAAACGATTCTGAGCAGAGCTTAATAACAACAATAAGACAATTTTCAAAAATGCATATGTTTTATTATAGTACAATAAATAAATATATATATACCTATTTGAACAATTCGCGTAGACAAGTAACTAGATTTGTTCCACATCATTTTTTAGAAAAACGATTTTAGTCAAATTTGATATTAAAATTCTTATAAAAAAATATTACATATAGTTCAAATATTTGTTTTTTTTTTTTGATCACAAAGTATTACATTTAATGAACCTTTTTTTAAATTTTCAAGCATTTCTGTTTTTTACCAACAATTCGACCACAGAGTATTTACCTCGTGAATAAAAAATACGTACAAAATTCGCAAAATTAAAATGTCTATAAATAGCCCAAGAATGGTTAAAACTTTTTTAAAATTTATCCACGTTTAGAAAAGAAAAATATAAAATGTTTGCTAAAATTTCAAGTCTACGAATAATTTTAACAGAATTACAACAACTAACAAAGCTGAAAAAAAAAATAAAAGCATTATTTACGTTTTTTTACGTTTTATTCCGGTTATGAAGATAATTGTAAAATATTAACACGTATGGACTTTAAACTATATGCTCATTTATTTTAAAACTCTGTTGAGTAGTTTTTTTTTTTATTATAACATACATTTTAACATTTATTTACATAGTATAGGTACAGGAACTACGGAACTCGTAATTAAATTATGCTTATTTTATACAACTTTAGACTGTAAATAGGTATGCGTTGTTTCTATCTGTATAATATTGTTTTAACTTATAATGTTTATTATACAGTGCACAACGCATTATTTGTTCCGATAATATCCTTAGATAGGTAATTTGTGTGCATTTAAGTTTAGTATGAAATAAATAATCAATATTGTAATTAATTTGAATTATACGTTTTTGAATTGTGCTATACATTTGAATATGTCTCTGAAACAGTGGAATATTTCGTAGATATACGCTTAGATTCTAAAACGCATTATAGTAATACCAAAATCTAAAAAAAAAAAAAAAAAAAGACCGTGTCATAATTTTGTATCTATCGCGTAATTTATAGAACGCGGTAAATCAATTGGGAGTACGTTTCCACGAAAGTTTATTCATTTAATTCTATTATTAAAGTCATGCTACGTCGACAATATTGATGATCGATTTCGTCCGTTCCATTTCCATATTACATTTTAACGATAGATAATCAGGTTATCGAGAGAAAATGGTATTCGTGTCCGTAGATAAGTAGTCGTTGGTCATCACCGCACGGACAGCCGGACAGACCCAGAATATTATATTACAGGGAACATTATTATCAAGTCATCCACACAATTTCAGTGGGCCTTTGAAGTCTAAACACGGCATACACACTATGTAACAATATTATTGTTAGCAAACGTAATGTAAGACCCGCGGTCTTGGCCGTTATTATTACACCGAGGACGGTCTCAGTTTTAACGTTACCATACACAGGGAAGACACGAAAATAATCCAATTATAAAAAAAAAAGGCTGTCCTAGGATAATTGGGACGGGTGAAGCCGCTGTTGTCGGTGAGAAGTCGGGAAGGTAGGATGCAGATGGGAATTCAATGTATATCTGTGAGCAACGATAAACCAAACGAAAAAAAACGATTCTCAACGGAGTTCAGTTGATAGGGATGCTTTGTCAATAATATATAATATATATACGAGTATATCATATTACGGTAAACTAATTAAACAATCATAATAAATTATATATAATATTTGTTTAATATTGATCCAGTTTTCCCGTTTTTCTTACAATTTTTTCGGTCTTCCCGTGTTTTTGAAAATTGACCTCCCTAAAGTACCGCCCCAAGAAAATATCCTTTTAGAAAAGGGTCACCACCATTGTAAAACCAATACATTCTTCGCTACATTCAGCATATGAAATTCACGCATTACCTTCACGTAACATTAATAATTTCGGTAATATATGACTCTGTAAAAGGATTTAAGATTGAAAATATATTGCACGGGTAAGCTATATTTCCACCAGGAAGACTGCATGGTTGACGACAGATGTGTCAGAATTACATCTGGATATGTCTGGATAAACATGCACAGATTTTAGTATTGAAGTTCGCGGTCAAAATAAAACTTTAGAAATTTTAGCTATGTGTTTTTCGTCTAACCGGTATATCCATACGATTTCCGCACGTTTTCTCTTTTATTCGTATTATTCCTAATGTATATATTGGACTCTAGACGATACTACTATATACATATGGCACGCCGTTAAATTGGTATCTCATTTTTTAAACGAATCGTCGACTGTTCGACGGATAATTCGAAATGTTCTGGTTTTTAACGTCAATACGACGCCTTATGAACATTTTTACACCTCGCGCGAAGGTAAACGGTTTTTTTCACAAATCAATTTTTCCAGTGTTCGGTCGTACAATTTGTTGAAATATTGTTCATACAACGACATGTTGCAGTATGATATACTTGAAGTTCGATTTGTTCGACTTGTACATAAACGTGTGTATACTGTGGTCAATGGGTACATATACGGTTGAAGGAATACGGCTCAAGAGCGCCGGATTGAATTCCGTAATTCCGACGAAAACAATTAAACGAACCTTTTGGAATCGCAGGTAAAATTACAGGAATTTTTTTCGTTACTACTAATATCGTATTATGTTATTTAAATACCGTTATTTATTATTACTGTACATGTCGCATAATGCATTCAACACGAGTATATTAGTACGCTGTGCTTGGCATGACAAATTTTTGAATGCGTTTTTTTTCAACTAAGTAGGTATCATAAGTTAATTAAATACCAGAACGAAATATGACTGATACGAAAGTAGACGATAATTGCGTTCATTACTCTATGAATATCTTCATATATAACACGACACATTGAATTATTACCGTTACCACGATTATTACCGTAGACCATATAGTCAATAGAAATCATAGATTAGTAAAATAAATTAGTAAAACGAAGACGACGACGGGTCGGCCATTGAGTGATGACAATGCGCGACTAGTGTTTGTTTTTTTTACAGCTGTTTCCACGGTCTTTTTTGTATACACGAGTGCACACCGTACATCCTCTGTTTACATCGTTACCAAATAGGTGATGTGATGGGGTACGGAAATCAAAATGATTTAGTGACCACAACGTTTCATTAGTTTAAAAATATCTACAACGGAATACTAACAATGGCACGATTCGTAGCGAAAAATTACCTTTTTCTCAATGTTATAATAGGGAGTCTTCGGTGGGAGTACTGGAGTTGTAAAATGACAACAGTTATTTAAAGAAATAAGGGGCATTGTGGGGTAAAAAAAAAAAAACAAATTCAATCTTACCAGCGTTGAAAATTTGCCTTTTCTGGGAAAGGGTTTGATCGGAGTCATGCTGCAACAAAACGTTCATCTTGTTGATGAGCTCCTGGGCGTTGGCCACTTTGGCGGTGCACATAATGTCCATCTGTTTGTTTTTGTTTGATTCCATCCACTCTTTGGTCAATGGGAACCGAATGCCCACAGTGGAATTGTAGAACGGTCCTTCGGATACACTATTAGGATAACGCTCCACCAGGTAGTTGTCCACCTGGAATCGAAAAATATTACAAAAATGAAAACGGCATCTACAAAAAAAAAAAAAAAATTCAATTTTGCTTTATTATTATTAGCGAAAATACATTAAAGGATATAAAAAAAGATCAGCTTGATTATCCAACGTTGTTTAAAATATCTAAATTATTAAAGTCCTCTATGTGAAATCTTTTTCATATGACAGAAAAATAAACACACAGCATAGAGCAACAGAAAGAAAAACCGAAACTGTGAATTAAAAAAAAATAAATATATTTTACAATTAATTAGATTTAAAATTTGTATTATATTATATATTTAGTTTTGGATAATTGTATTTTATATACCAAAGTACAAAAAAAAAAAATAAGACGAATATACTTCACACGATGGGTGGTGGGCCACTGTTGTGAATGAGAAGGTAAGAAGTTGGGACATAGGGGAGTTATTTAATGCAGATCTGTACGAAACGATAAATCATTGCTAACGTAAAACGATTCTGAGCGAAATCTTGATAAACATGTTTTAAAAGCCCGTAATATTTACGATTTTAGTCAAAATTTAATATTAAAATTCTTATAAAAATAGATTCATTATCACATATAATTTTTTTTTTCAAGCGTTCCGGTTTACTATAATTATTTTTTTATTATAGTACCTACCAAATACAAATTACGAGAATAACTCGCAAATGTAAAATGTTTAAAAATATCTTAAAACGATTAAAATATTTTGAAAATTTTGCAACGTCCGTAAAAGGAAAATATGATTATAAAATATACTTAAATTTCAAGTCTTTATAGATATTTCTAACTCAATCACAACATAAAACGAAATTGAAAATAATATATTTCGTAAATTTTCCCGCTTTTCTACGTTTTTCTCAATTTTTATGAAAACCGTTTTTTAAATCAAAAAATAATCCGCTTAAAGTACCACGTAAATAAATTTTGCTTCCAGAAAAATATACTACTGCTAAAATAATCGGAGTGAAATTTCCGGCAGAAAAGTTTTTTACATAATTATTTAGATATTTTTAGATAATATAAGAAGGTAATTTCAGGTGGGATGGCAATAAATTGTTGTATTGAAAAAACATAAAAAAATAAATTATCGAACTGTCGGTCCGTTTCGTCACAGGTACACGAGCGTGCGATTTGTTTGCATACACTTGGCGAAGAGGGTTCGATAGTTCACGTATATGTAGGTCGCAGGGTCTGAACCGCGGTGTTTTTGACGGGCCCTTTGAAGTCGAAAACAACGGACGTACCGCGATAATAATTTTTATCGTTATCGCCGTTATCGATTCCAGAGAATTATCCGAGCCGTGAATCGGCGACGCGCGCGGGCATTTCGAATCGCCGTAAAACATTATCGACGCGCCCGCGTCAATTGCATTCGGAGTCCGGCGGTTGTTGCGTTTCGGCGTATAACGGCGGCAACACTATCGTGCATTATTATCAGGCCCGTTCGGAGATATTTGTGGTCCCGGGGCAGAATCATGCGGGGGGCGCATTTATCTTATCTAAATTTTATTTCAGAATATTAAATCTAGGTACGTACTTTTCACAAAAATGTGCTGATAGTACTTGGAGCCCATAGACTTATGGTCTCATAGTTTTTAGACTAACCGAATTACTAACAAATGCATCTTTGTTACATTCTTCGTGATATTCATAAACTGTTTAAACTGTGACACTTCATACGACCCAAGGGAGAAATGGGCGAACCCATTGAAACCCTCTTCTCAAATACGCTGTTTATCAAGGATATTATAATTTTGTATCATTACACTTTCGCAGTTTCATTCTTTTTTTCTTTTACGGATGTGAATATTTTTTATAATTTATAGGTAAGTATATAACGTCTGTACCAACAATTTTGTTATAAACGCGGTAAAAAGTTTTTCAGAAACCTTCGCAAATTAAAAACAAGTCTTTTCTCAAAAAAAAAAAAAAAAAAAAATTAAAAAAAATAGGTCTATATTTTAAAATAACAGCGCTGCAATTAATCAAAAAAGTTTCTCGTTTCTGGATCGCAGTGCGTCTCGTTGTTGTACTATTTTATTATTTACATAAGTGTTATCGGTACATATTTTTAAATTTTTTTACCCGTTTAATCACAGTTCTCCATCTCCCAGTGGCGTAAACACTCTTTAAGCGCGTGCTTCGAAAATATAATATTATTTCGCTGTTTCGCTGTAGAAAAATGATCGAATTCGAATTTCGTATGGTTAAATGATTAACAGTGACGGAGGCTGCAGTACAGTTTCCAGAAAGAAATTTGGCGGTTAAGGGTAATTTTATAATTTATATTATTATTTATTATTTTTAAAGGATAATTAAATACACCGAAGTAATTTACACAATCATACAACATTCTTTACGAGGTGGGCACGTGTCTTCAATGTTACCCTTCCTAACCACGGCACTGGGTTTTTTCGAGGGGAAAAAATAATTTTACCGTTGCAGTGAATGAAAGACAAAAAAAACATGCGATAATGTCGAAATCGGGCTAAATAAAATATTTAAATTTGATCGAGTTCAGAAAACATTTTAGAAATAAAATTCCAACTGAAGAGCACACTTTGTCATTATTATGTAGCCGATCTAATGCGGTATACGACGGAATGTCATCAGTTTCGTAAAATATGATGTTTAGTAAAAGTTTCCGAATAAAACTTACCGAAATCATTATGGTTTACATTTTCTAAAAACTCTTAATGTTATTTATTTTTTTTCACATACAGGCACTTCTCGCTCGTAAGAGAAATCAAATTGTTGGACACCTGTTTACGGTCCCACGGGAATGGTTTAATGAACACGTTTTGAGCGTCAAATATTACACATATACGTATAGGTAGATCGTATATGACCGGGGAAAAAAGTTTTACATCCCGGCGACGACGGGTCACAATCGTTAAAAGTTGAGGCTATTTGTCAAACGGCGAACATGTCGGAACAGAAGAAAGAAAAATTTGTACGAGCACAACACGAGATAATAATATAATAACGACGCGGCCGGTCGATCTTCTCGAGTCCGCATAGTGTACACCGTATTAAATAGAAATTTAATGGTTCCCGGTGTCGATTTTCCATATGCCCTGCGATATTTTACGAAATTCAAATATTTTTACGACCTCTATATAATATGATAGGATTCGGTCTCTAACATCTACTGCCCGAAGCCTATTAACATGAAAGGAGTGCGGCTGTGTTTAAGGGCAAGAATTTAACCTCGCGGGAATAGGGCAGCTAACCGTTATTGTGAATTTAAAATTTGAGTTACGCATATTTTGTAACTGATAAACAATTTGTCGTTTCACGGTCGGCATTAAACTTCGATATTTCACTTGACTTCAAAACACCACAAAAAAAAAAAAAAAAAAATTGAGCTAAATATTTTGAAAAACGGAGTTTATTAAAGACTATGCAGGATTTAAAAAATAAAATAATCGTGAAAATCCAACCGGTTTACGGGAAATGGACGGTTTTGATATTATTAAGCGTGTTTCGGGCCGCAAACAAACGAGCCGGCACCAGGGCCTCTTAAAATCGACTTATTTAAAAATATGAACTGCGTCGTCAATTATACGAAACAATATTACATTTTGATGTAAATAAACGCAGACAGTTAGGCAGTGCAATGTAGCCACGGAAATCGGGGATATCCGAGGCCATTTTGTGTGCGAAAAAAAATGAACAAATTACCTTGAACGATCGACGAGATGGCAATAGAAATGTTTTTTTCGGTCAACGATAAATAACGAGTCGAGGGTACAGATACCTATATATTATTCATATTATATTATTCGATATTATTTTACTCACCGAAGATTGGCGGGCGGGTAAAAAACGTTTATCAAAAACTCCTACGCCGGGAGGCTGTCGAATGTTGGATGCGCGTTAAATAATACGGTTTAGAGACGGTCGAGTTTATACGTTTTAAAACAATTCTTCATGGGGGAAAAAAAAAAAAAAAATAGAAAATACTGTACGAAAACGAGGATTATATTAAGTAACCCGACGAATAGACGATCGATAGCCACGGAGAGGGGGGAGGGAAAATGTTTCGCTGAAATATATTAAACGAGTATACTCCATTTTTTTTTTCTTTGATTATACCTTTATGCTATAGTTCTATTATATTATATATTGATTAAAAAAAAAAAAAAAAAAAACCATTTAATCAAACTGACGTTTTCTGCCCCCCAATAGTTCAAACGCACGTATATCCGTNGGTCGAGTTTATACGTTTTAAAACAATTCTTCATGGGGGAAAAAAAAAAAAAAAAAAAAAACCATTTAATCAAACTGACGTTTTCTGCCACCCAATAGTTCAAACGCACGTATATCCGTATCGTAAAAAAATGATTTTTTTAACATTGCATAACATTCAAACCACATAGTATTAGACGATATTATAATTTCACAACAAACTTATTCTATGAGCACCACTTCACCGCAATTACCTACTCGTAGTTATTATTTATTATATTTACTTATCATAAATACAAATTCGGTTGATTCTTTAGAGTAACCCCAAAGTAACTACGTTTCATTTGATTCCGAGGTTCAATTCGATCAGCTATTATGTTGCTTTTCTAGCTATAGTATTTTGCAGATATTTTACACTACCTTTCCGTATACTGCGTTCCGCTCGTTTTCTACAATGTGTTTGGCTGTCTAAACAGCGTGTCTTCAGTCACATTGTGATGGATCACTAAATTCCCGTTTTATAGAGCAATTATCCAGTCCAACCGTTGCCGGTCAGGCGATCAGTTAAGACACCAAGAAAACGTTTAGAAAAAAAAAAAAAGAAGAACCCTTAGCGTGGAGCTTGGAACTGCACTGAGCTCAAACGCGGATAGTTATTTAGACCAAGAATGCCAATTTTGAATTATTTACGACGCTGGAAAAGAAATCTGAGAATCTCATTTGGACTGAAAAAATAAGGAATGAGGATAGCCTTTTTTTTTAGATAGACACGCAGAAATTACACATTTGGGACGCGCATAAAAAAATTAGAAAGAAGTGTATTGAACATTTTATAAGCATGAATCCCGCTCAGTCTTGGCCGTGCCAATTTTAATTTTTTAATTTCACATATATTCCTTTTCTAATTTGGTCTACCGTTGTTCATTTATTTCCGAACCTCGTGATGTCTTTTTCTTTTGTATTTCAGATGTAGATCGACGATGCGACGATTCGACAGATTAAAAAATATCTATGTCTTATGAATATCCATATGTGTTTAAAGTCGTGTTCATACAAACTCATAGAATACATACTATAGGCGTATTACGAATTTCCCCGTAACAACCCAGTTAACTAATAATATTGGTTTTTTTCGTCCGTATTACCGAGGTAACCCATAAATAAAAATGTTTATAAGAAATTGCTAAAAAACGGTTTTAGTGGGATTACAGAAGAATTTCACAGATGTACTACGCCGAAAGCCTTCGCGGGTGTGTATTCTACATCTTCCCCATGTTTCATGACGATCTTACAAATGGTATTGCGATAATGTATAATGGAAAAATATACATAAATTTGTTTATATATATATATATATATATTGTCGGGAAATATCTAGATAAGTTATCTAGATAAAAATGTTTTATCTTTTATTTAATATAGATAAATTTCAGCTCAGTTATATTCTGTATTCATCTAGATAACATTTTAGTTATCTATGCGTAACCATCTAGATAATTTATTTTAACGGGCTAAAAAAAAAATAATTAAAAATTAGAAATAATATGATTAATAGGTATTTACTTTATTTTTTTTTTTGGCGAAACGAATACGATATACTTATTATACGGAAAACAAACATTTGGTAAAATGTATCATTAAACCGTGTGTTTCAATATTAAATGTTCATTAGTTGGCAGTTTTACATCTTAAACAACGATAATACCCAAACATATAAAATGATGTAATGTTATGTTCAAAGAGCAACTAATAATCGACAATAGCAAAAGCGAAAACATCATTCCCTGTTACCCGCCACAGTATGACGGCGGTCTTCATTAGCTGATACCGGTTTCATAGAATTACAAGTACAATTAAAATTACAAGTCAAAGAATAACTTGTACATTTATCATGTACCTACTACTCATGTCCTTATAAAGTTTATTTAAAAAAAATTAGCTATTTTATTTTATGTTCATTTTTAAAATGGTTTTTTTTTTTAAATTTTGTATACTAAATACCCGTATCACTGAATATTTGCAAACATAAACAATAAATTATCTGATATTTATTTAGATAAAAAATGAATTATTTTATATCTTTACTTAGATAAACTCTTGTTCATCTAACACTGTATATACGTAGAAGATAATGCTTCAGGAATAGCAATTATTCAAGAAAGAATTGATGGTAAGACCAAGGATAGCTTACCTACGCAGTGAAGGCAGTGATAAAAGGCATTGGAATAAATGCGGTTATAGAAAGAGAAACAAAAATTATTTAACCTATCTTAAGAGTTTGACGTAAAATAAGCAAAAACGTTTGTTAACATAATATATCAAATATGTTCAAACAATTTTAGCCTCGCCTTATGCGGATTGTTAATATTTACAAGCGACAAATAGCCAGAAGAAATAAACTCTAAAAAAAATAAATACAAATAAACATCAAATGAATCAGGCAGTTGTCGTAATAGTATTATTAATATATTCTTGTAATTTCGGACACCAAAAACGGTTAATTTCTTGATCCTTGTTTTTGTTTATGATTTATTTTCAAATTTATTTATGGCCGCGTGAAACTTGATATAAATTATAAAAGAACCACCGCGAAATTATACGTTATTATTTCGTAAAAATACATAAAATGCCATATCACGGTCGTTATTAACATATTTCTGAATAATATTATTTTCGGTGTTTGTTAAAAAAAACTTTGTTAAAAAAATACCCACAAACTGTCGGAATGACATATTCACAATATGTATGGACGACTATTATTTTGTTGGACGGCAGAATATATTGTACCTACTGCATTTGAGCCGTTTTTTATTTTCGGTCCGACAGTATACAAACGTACACGTTTGTCCAACGGTTTAGTTTTTTTGTTGTATACATAATTTTTTATTATATCGGTTATTGGGTTTTAAAATGCAAATGCCCGGGTTTGTTTTTGTTCAGAAATGATTGTAAAAAATAAACACTCATTCCGCTAATCAAGAATTGCCTCGCTCCGTTTTGTGTTTTTGGACATTTCTCACGTGAAAACAAATAGGTACGCAGTGTAATTTGGTGAATTTCCCGATGACTTCAACGTGTGTGTCGTCCCTAAATCAGAAAAACTTTTTGATTTCAAATTGGTACAAAATGTCGGTGTTTTTAAAAGATTATAAAAAATCTAGCAAAATTGACTTTGACCGATAAACGAAAAGAAATATAAAATATTAAAAACTTCTGAAAATTAGTTCTCACGAAAGAAATTATAGCCCTTTGGTAAATTATCAGGGAGTTATCACAGAGCCAATAATCAATGACACGTCGGCTCAATATTTCTATGCGTTAGTCGAATCGACGATGATTTTTTCGGCGTTCTACTTAAATTATCAGAATCTGTGGATAAAAACCGACATTTTCCCAAGATAAATTAATTATTATTTCGAAGGGGGACGGCGTATTAAATACTATTTTCACGACCAATAACTTATTTTATTATGCTTG